CCATATTCAATACACAGCTGCGATCACTGACCACATGCAATTTGAACTTAACACCAATCAGGCTATACACCATAAACAAAATGCATTGATTTATGGCCCGAGTTCGGTCTCTGTCACATTATGTAATTACACAGACAGGCAGGTGTGATACTTGAACTCATGACATGGTATGATGTCTGTTGATTGCAAAATGTTATACACAAAAAATGAGCATGTATTTACAAAACCCAACATCTCTATATATACACACACACAATGAGCCGTGAGGGCATCTGCAAATGAACCAGCCGTTACACTTGAGTGCACACCCACCCGCTCTGACTGGGTTCGGTATCCTGGCTGCTTCGTTTCTTGGGAAGTTAACCCAAGTACACAATATTGCACTTTTGATTTGCGATTGTACGCTTTTAATTTTGTTTATATGTTTTTTCATAACCAGGAATGTATATTATATGTCATGAATAAGTGATAATTGTGTTTTAATTATGTTTGATTTTTTGGTTGCATGTGACCTTTAACATATTGGTCGTTTTGAAATATCTAGCATACTAGATTATCTAAAACCACAAAATCTATAAGATTTACTTACCTTAATCAGTTAAGAGTAGGTGGTCCCCCTATATGACAAATTGACAATTGAATGCTGCAACAAGAGTGTAAGGTTATAGTCTCAACAAACGATTCTTGTTTCTTGTTACACCGCAGTTTATTTCCATCATAATGCGTTTCATTACTTGAACAGTATAAGTCATTCAGCGGGTTCAAGCTGAAACCATACAGAACCTGATTTACCAAATGTTGCATAAACGTACACCATGAATAATTGTTTAGGCTCAAATACACTGTCGACACATCTGTTTACATTTTAAAGTTACCACAATTCTACAACTAATACAGCAAATTCGACAACAATTCTCCCGAAATGATGACAATGCATGACTCATATGAAGGGTACTTACAAATTTAGTGGCAGAATCAGTTTGGTTTCATTCTAATTGCATCAGTTTTGCTCCAAAGACGATGCTCGTCACCGAAAAACAGGCCATGTGCGTTTTCGCCTTCCTGCCTGCCTCCTTGCTTAACCTCCCCGCAGTTATCTCCCCTAGAAGTCACCAATCCCACAGGAATTATCTCCCTTAATACTTCCAACTGCTCTACACTGTCACCAAGACCTTTAAACTAGGGGAATTGAAATTACAATTTCAGTCAAAGTTAAAACTGACTTATTCAGGCTACAAAGAGTTAACAGGGGGTAAGCGATCAGACTGTATATAGACAGCCACAGTGAATCCCGTGGGTGGCTGACCCACCACCTATTCCGTCGGATTCCATAAGCAATAATCATGAGTCAGGATAAGGGAAAATATGTAATTTTTATGATAAAATTATTATTTTTATACTTATCCTGACTCATGAGGTAAGCCCTCCCGACTGTCCCCAATCTCAGCATTATGGTCTTCACTGTAAGTCACAATGCGGGCATATTTCGGAGAGAGTGATAAGAACTAGTCACAGGTCACGTGGGACCGGTTTTGGAGGGAACAAGGGAGGTAACTTAGGGTGAGTGATTGTTCGAGTGCTTCAGTGAATTTGAATAGGATTCAAGGTTTCCACTCAACCGTTGAAGGAGAAGGGAGATAAGCAATAATCATGAGTCAGGATAAATATAAAAATAATAATTTTATCATAAAAATTACAGTTTTTGATCTGTACATACGCTGATACGGCCCTTATCTGGAGCCCTGTTAAAGTATAAATATCATTTATACTCATATACTAAAGTACCCCACTCAACCATCCCCGCTCTTTAGTATTCGTTGTTTTGTGTACGATTTTGAAATAATGGAAATGGATAGAATGATGAGTCTATGGCCAATGTGCATCTCAAGTGAGATATTTTTTACTCTAAAAATTGCATTTTTGTTTAATTGTTGATAATTTCGTGCTTTCAAGTTTACACAGATTCCCGAACGTTGGTTGGTTGAGAGAGCGGTCATGTGATCTAAATTTCAAGGTTCATTACTCTTGAACCCCTCTAATCGTTCATACTTGTGTAAACACCGTTCATACGTGTGTGAACGTTTTTCGCTTCGGTTTCAAGGACCCCCAATAATTGGTGATACCAATTTCGCGAACGAACCTGTTTCAAGTCACCCCAAGTTTGGCAATGTCACTACCAAACGGATTGCTGAACATTGTTCCTTTTCACAGGAGTTTAATGTCTCGCAGTTTTTGGGTTCATCCGGCGGTTTTCTGCCCCCGAGGTCTGTTTAACAACTGCTCAATAAATTTCACAATAAACAATCACAAATAAATAGAATACAACAAGATCTGTTTCCTATTAAGCCGCCGCACAACCGAAGTCGGTCAGTGTATTATTACGCGGTCAAACAAGGTATTTACAAGTGAAAAGGTACAATGCCAGTTTGTTAAAATGGTATTGTTATTGCTTCTGATATTTGTTTCTGTTTGATACTGTTATTGATTATACTTATTGAAGCAGTTTCAAACCTCATAATGAATTTGTTGTTATATTTTAAAGATCGAATACTTTGAGAACTATTTCTTCAAGGGTTGGGATACATGTGTATAAAGAAATCGCTGTGTATACAAACATCGCTGCAATACAATACGTTCTTGAACCGAATGGCATTACAACATTTTACAGGTATTAAAACACACTAAACAATGATCATCTACAAGTGGGTGGAAAGCGTATGTGTAAACTTCAAAGTCGCGAGAAATTATAAGAATTGAATGTCAGTTTGTGTGTTTGCACTGAAAAATCGAACGATGTCAAAGCGTTGTTCAAACTCTCGCGTGAACTTCATTTCCAGAACTCGTTCGTTCACACGAGTTTTAACACCGCTTTGACATCGTTCATTTTTCAGTGCAAACACACAAACTGACATTCAATTCTTAATTAACATTACTGATAAATAGTTCAAAACTTTTTACGGTATCAGGCAGCTACTGAATAGATGCTTATGTTACTCAGTAATAAAAATCTTTCAATTTTTACTCTTCCCTGGGAGACATTTTCTTAAGTGTAGGATTTGTGTCCAGTGCAAAAAAAGTGATTAGTTTTCTTTAATACCTTCACATTGTGAGAATCGGCTTATATTTGACTATGAGAAGGTTATCTTTCAAGGGTATTGCTTTCAAAACTGTCTATATTGCTTTGTCAAGCTATTGTGAGTATGTACACCAAACAAGTACTGTAAGTGTATTTCTATTCAGTTGACTTTCAGTTTTCACTACTTTAGACATCATGTTTAACCTTCTGAGGAATGAAGTGAAGTCCAATCTAGTATAGTTATGCTTATGCTTGTCTCTGAAAGCATGTCTGAGTCAACGATCCTAGAGTGTGGTGTACCCCAGGGCTCAGTCCTTGGGCCGCTTCTCTTTGTGTTATACACAAACCCTTTGGAGAAGGTCATTGATAAGTTTGATCTGAATCACCACGCATTTGCAGACGACCTCCAATTGATGGATTCCTTCAAACCAGAGGATGTACAAATAGCCAGATCAAGAGTGAGTCAGTGCACGAAGGCAATTAGTTCATGGATGATGACAAATGAGCTGAAGCTCAATGATGATAAGACTGAGGCAATGTTGATTGGCACATCGCAACGTCTGAAAAGGATAAACTCTACGGACATCACAGTAGCCAACTCAGATATCCCACTTTCATCCAGTGTAAAAAACCTAGGTGTTTATCTTGATCCTTGTCTCACCATGGAGCAACATGTCAACCATCTCTGTAGAGTAGGCTACTTCCATCTCCACTCTATTGGTAACATCCGCCATCTTGTAACCACAGATGCTGCTAAAGTTCTCACTCAGTCACTTGTTCTCTCCAGGATTGACTATTGCAATAGCCTACTGTTTGGAATCTCCAATGATCTTCTCTTCAGACTTCAAAAACTTCAGAATGCTGCCGCCAGAGTTGTCACTAAAACATCCAAATGGACTCACATAACCCCAATCCTCCACAGTCTGCATTGGCTGCCGGTTGAAGCAAGAATTCATTTCAAGATCTGCACTCTTGTTTTCCGCTGCAAACACGGCCTAGCTCCTCCATACCTCTCTGAGATGTTGTCAACATATATGCCTGCCCGTTCTCTCCGATCTCAGAATCAACATCTTCTCTCAGTTCCCCAAGTTCGTCTCAAACACTTTGGCCATAGGTCATTCATATTTGCAGCACCAACCCTATGGAACAGTCTTCCTACTCACATAAAAAATGCTTCATCCCTAGAAGCATTCAAATCGGGACTCAAAACCTTCCTCTTCAAAAAAGTCTACAACCTATAACTGCGAAATATTCTCACGGTTATTTTTGGCTAATTGTCATATCTTCCTCTTGAACTCTAGTGACTCTTTTTATATGTAGCGCTTTGAGCATGCTCTGGATGGACTATGGCGCATAAGAAATATCCGTTTATTATTATTATTATTACATCACCCTTAGTTTGTTTGGGGTGGTGAGGTAGCCTAATGGTTAAAGTGTCCATTTGTCATGATGAAGACCTGGGTTTGATTCCCGACATGGATACAATGTGTCAAGAAGCCCTCTTCTGGTGTTCTCCCCACTGATATTGTTGGAATATTGCTAAAGTGGCATAAAACCATACTCACTGACTTAGTTTGTTTTGTTTGCTTTGTGAAACAGTAGAGAATTGGTTTGAAATCAATTGGTTAGAGAGGCAATCTGTTATGTTGTTGTTATTCAGACTTCTTAGTGTACCCTATAACTGTAACAATGGACAGCTGTTTTGTGTGAATGATGTCAGTGAAAAGTAAGAAAGGTTTTAAATAAATTGAATTCAGTAAAGTTCAGTCAGTTTTGGAGTAGATCAATGGTTTATGTTGAAACACACAAAAGCAACTGATTTTTCTTTTGCATTTTGTGCAGCTGGCTATAAATTTCCTTTATGACTGCAAGATAACTGCAGGCTCAAACATTTAATATTGTGTTAACACATTGTATGTTCCAGAGATCTGTCTGACATTGGGTGCTACGTGAAGGTCATTGATGGTTGTCAGGAGCTGGACAGAGAAACCAGGTTAGATCCATGGGGACATTGTTAAAGCAAAAGTGTGTTTCTGTAGCAGTGTTTGAAACAAGCTGATAACTGCAGAGTGCTTTCAGCTCGCATGTCTTTTTCTGCGACAGTTCTGCTTCAGGGACCACATTGTGGGTTCACTTTTACCATGTGACTGGATGTTTTACTTGACTGTAAACAATCACAGTTGTCCTGAAATAAGCAGACAGTGCTTTACAGATTGTTTTGCCTAATTATGTAGACCAACCATTGCGCCATACATACAGCTTTTCTCATCAGATCATGTGACTATTGCCAGCTCTCTGTATGGATTCATCATCAGCTCAGATGATACATATATGCAAATAGAAAGAGATTTTCATGTTTTAGGATATATTATCTCAATGAAAGTTAAACAGTTTTACCATATCCTGACTCATATTTATTGCTTATCTCTTCTCTTACTGGTATTAGAAACTCAAGCCTCTGTGTTCGCAAGAACAAAAAAACATCTCACCCGAATGCAGCCTCAGCCTTGGTCTGTCCACCCGAATGCAGCCTCAGCCTTGGTCTGTCCACCCGAAAGCATGTTACCCGCCTGGACTTGTCACTCTCGCTTTTGTACCATGATAACAGCTGGGGAAATTTCACAGTGCCATCGTAATCCAAGGCATCTTTTAAAAATCAACATTTTTTAATAACATATTTTGCTTGTATTGCTTCATTATCTGCTGCAGATATTGATCAGAGTAAAGCAAAGAACATTATGCGGAAGGAAAGCAGCTCTTCAACATCTTCGAGATTGGCAGCAATGTCTATGGACAGTTGCATGAAGGGATCCATCTTCATGAAGCCCTCAGAAGTCCCATTAGTGAGGCAGCAAATGGTGCTTGCCAGAACGTCTCAGAAATCGACTTCTAAGTCGCAAAAGCCCAACACCTGCGTGAAGCACGAGAGCTTCGTGCACCCCATGACCTTCATGCTGCCTATATCATTCGTGCAGGATTGAAGAATCAACCCTCTTTCCAGCACCAGAACTTCCAGCAGGTGCGGAGCTTTGCGCAGCCCATGAGGTTCTAATGGAGGACGATCCATCAATGAAGAGGCTGTAGGTAACCTGTCTGCTATATGTGTAAGCAGCTCTTGATCATCATAAATAGACGTAGGCCCTTGATGCTTTGAGGTCACCTCAGCTGCAGAAGATTAGTAGATTAAAAGATGTAGTAGGAAAGTGCTGTAAGGGTTTGGAGCCCTTGATGAGTTCGGTGAGATATCTATTTATGATGATCAAGAGTTGCTTACGCAGATAGCAGACAGGTTACCTATAGGCTCTCCATCAATAAATCGTCCTCCGTAAGGTACTTACAGTATCTCAGGTTATAACCTTGAGCCTTTCTCCTTACCAATTCTGGAGCAATGTTACAGGTTGTGAAAAACCTTAACACTTCCTTAAAAAAAATGAAATCACCGTTTGTTCCTAGTTGCAGAGACTCCCACCACCACTCATCAATATACAGAAATTCCCGCTTTTTGGTATGACACTTTTTCTATGGGCACCTGAGCTTAATGATGACTGTATTCTGCAAGCCTTTTTCGATCTAACCATGTTGTGATCTATCAACAAGGCCATGGTCGTGCATCTCATGCAAGAGTAGATTCTCTGGCAAAGGATAAGAGATATTTCGACAAGAAGCAGCCCTTTAGGAAGCTGTACAAGAAAACAAGGGCCAGGGGAATAGGTCTTACCGGTGAAGGGGCACACTTGGGCAGATGGGAACTTCCATGCCCAGTTGTTCAAGTCATGGATTCACCAGTATGGGGAAGACTTCAGAACTAATAGCCAAAATGGGAGCTTCTGAACGACATATTCGTCACAACCACCCTAAGGGGTGGCTGCAACATTCCGATGTTCGTGGCACCACCACTCATACTTCATCCTCCACACTAGCGCTACATGGCAATTGCTCCATCCCACGATTATGGAAGGATTGTTCTGCCCAATCAATATCTCCGTGACTTCGCTACTGAGGATGTGAAGGGTATACATCAATTCGGACCCCTACTGGTCACTCAACAGCTGACAGTACCCAATCAGAGATGAGGGATAAAACCAGACTCACCAATGTCACACAGACTCATAAAAGTCAGGTTACCGATCATAACCACAGACTGAGAGTCCATGTGCCTGTTTTCATAAGAATTAAGAACATAAGTGATGATGGATTGTGTAAGATTACAGATCTGGCTAGCTATTCTCAAAATATTCGTAGCCATACAAACTTCTTAAGCCCATTCTTAACACATTGAATTGGCTACGATCAAAGTTAAGAATTCTTAGGGCTACGAACATTTTGAGAATAAGGGCCCAGTTTCTTAACATGCTAATCACTCGTAAGCAGCTGGAATCTAATTCTAAGCGTGCTTAAAATCCACTGAATCAATAAGATTCACTACTTCTCTCATGAGTTTTGAGACAGTGCCCCTATGGATGAAGGATGCAGATGTCCAAAAGTATGAAGAAGGGCTAATAGAACAGAGGATCCCGCAAATGGTGGATCTTACACCTACTGTGGGATTCACGCAGTTAGTATGAGTCAGGATAAAGTAAAATATGGATTATTTTTTTTATAAAAGTATCATTTATACTTATCCTGACTCATTCGCTTACAGTGCCCACCCATCCGTCCCAGTTATCCAGTTTTGGAATACAGTTGATAAGGATTAAAAACGAGAGTGACAAGTCCAGGCTGGTCAAGTGCTTAAGGGTGGATGGACCGAGGCTAGGGCTGTGTTCAGGTGGCATGTTTTTCTGTTCTTGGGAACAGAGGCACTGGAGTTCCCACTACCATTTGGAAAAGAGAAAAGATAAGCTATCAGTATGAGTCAGGATAAGTACAAAACATATTTTTATCCCCCCAAAATACATTTTCATGACATATGGTAATGAAAAAATGTAGAATCTCCCAAATTTAACAGATAAAAAGTACATGGATGGAGATGTTAAGAAACACAGAATTGTCTATTTACTGAGCTCTCAACTGGCAGTCTTGTTGACATTTTAAATTGTCCACTACATAAGCAGGTGAAACACATGGAGACGTATTAAGTTGTTATCTTTGACTGCAAATTTAAATGCACACTACTTCACCAGGTGAGCAACAGTGCTCTGACACATTTTTGTAGTTTCTAAGGCAACAAGTTTGACTTATATATATGCTGAAAGTGAAGTCTATTATCTTTGAACATAACTCACAGACACTTTTTTCATCTGCATGAAAATTGTTTTTGCAAAAGATGTCTTACGTCATATACAGGATTCCACATACTGTTGGAGCCTTTTACTCAATCTCCTTTTTCTCCTGAGCCCAGGGGGGCGGTGGGGTAGCCTAATGGTTAAAGCGTTGGCTCGTCACGCCGAAGACCCGGGTTCGAATCCCCACATGGGTACAATGTGTGAAGCCCATTTCTGGTGTCCCCCGCCGTGATGTTGCTGGAATATTGCTAAAAGCGGCATAAAACCAAACTCAGTCAGTCAGTCAGTCCTGAGCCCAGAATAAGGTATTTTTTCACCAATCTGTACTGTAGACACAGGGGTTGAAAAATACCATTGCCCGAAGCCAGAGTCGAGTGGAATTCTCCGGTTGGTCAAGTAAATATCCACGTTAAACTCTACTGTGGTACAGTCATGCCAAACTACTCAAATGTTTTGATATATGTATTTTGATGATGAAGTATAAATGCAATGGCTACCAATTGATAATGATTATTTGCAAAAGAAACCAAATTGTTTATTATGGTCAAGTGAAATTTATATTTGGTAGAGTGGATTTTGAAAGTTTACTGGACCTGTGTCCAGTGGAGTTCTGTAAATAAAATTCAACCCCTGAGACAGGGTTTTCTTATAAATAATATCACTTACAATTTCATTTATTCTCACATTATATTGTATACGTGGGGCCCCAAGGTAAGTAACCCGTCTTATGTCTGAATGACACTGAACAAGACAGTATGTCTTTTGTATCAAAGATTGATTGCAGCAGAGTTAATGTGCAGGTGATGCTACATTCAGTCACAGGATGGGACATTCTCATGTCCTGTCAAGTCAGTGGTTATCAACGAAATATACACATGTTATAATAGCTTTTTAAAAGTCTCATACAATGTACTACTATAGTGACATGAAATGTTTTGTCTGCACCAGGCTTAAAGGCACAGAAATTATTTAAAGACAGAAGGAACCGTTGGGTGTACTTGTGGGGCTGAATGATAGTGGTTTTCTTCTTAATAGCCTTGAAATTCACTTACAACTTGGAATAAAATGTCAGGCCTTACCAAACAAATCATGATTATGAAATCGGGTAAAAAATATCATTTTCAACTCCAAAAAAAAAAATATAAACGAAATTATTTTTCACTGGAAAAACCTGACTTGCTCCATTCTATGTTTGTATTTTACAGAGTGTTGGGTCTCCCTTCAGACTTCAAGGAAGGTGTGATATTCAGCACTTATGCTACTCTGGTTTCATCTGTGCAGAGGGGAGGTAGGTTTCAGATATGCAGACCGTGCACACAGGCTTCAAATGAAATTTAGAGACTATCAATATCGGTCTAACATTCATCTAATTTCCAAACAGAGTACGTTTATCTCCTAAATAAGCATGTGGAAGTGCAACAAAAGAGTAATTATCAGTTGAGTCAATCAAAGGATTAATACATAAATACATTAATTAATCACTGTTAGCTTGCACAGTGGATTTGTTGACACAAATTGACACAAAGTTACATGGATAGTTGAGAAACTTTCACAAGTTACACTATCCCAAAATGTTCTATATCTTACAATATCAGATTGTTGAAAGACACAGGACGTGGAAATGTAAGGGTTATTGTTCCTTTATGTGGATATGGATGGATACATTCCTCGAACAAGGTAACTGCCTGGATATTATTCATATCATCATTTTGTAGGTTGTTTTTTACCAGTATTTTCAATTTACATTCATTCATTAGTTGTAGCATTGAGTAGGGCTGTGTATCGTTAATTAAAATATATTGCAATATAGTGCGATTCAGGTACCCTTCTTGCGATATATTGGGAGCCAAAGTGTTTCACACTGATTTCATTTGATTGCACATGTAGATCCTATTTTCTACATGCAAAAACCCTAAAAATCAATGCTATGGTTTTAGTGACTGAAATCTCATAATTATGTTGGATAATCAGAATCTTTTATCTCTTTTGTATACAAATTTTGGGGGGCTATGTCAAGTATGACGTTTTGTCAATTAATTACGAAGGTAAAGATCAGTTGTAACTGAATGTCTGTGTAGATATTAATTGAAACATAGAGATAATCACAAAACCTCTAATAATTTTGTCTCTAATATTCCCGTTTTCTGAAAAAAATATTACAGTACATATAGTTTGAAAAGCTTATTGTGGTATACCAGTACACTGTTAATTTATCTGCTTCATTTGCATTGTTGGGAATTTCTTTTGGATGTGAGACAGACAGCACCAAGCCATTGTTTTCACAAGCCTTTTTGTTGTAAAGTATGATTCACTTAGGCAATTTATAAAGTGAAAAGATAGTACAGACATATCATAAATTCACTTTAAAAAAACCCAGGTAGACTGAAATGTTTTATGAAGTTCCAAAGTGGGTGAAAACAAAATATTAGATTAATTGTTCTAAAATTATAAGCCCAAACAATACATTGACTTACATTGACTTAACTTTTCTGTCAATCTTAACAGGTTTAGTCAGAGGGAGATGAAATTAAACTTCAAAACGCTTGTATTTGTTACCATAATAAAATAGCAGAACATATTTTGCATCCAGTTTCTAAAATAACTGAAATATTAAGGGGTCACAAATGTGACTACATTTCTCAATCAATTCCGAAAGAACAGTGTGTTTAATTGTTGTTGATCAGTGTGAGGATACTCCCTTAGAGTTTCAATTTGCTCTTTATGGATGGTGCAACAGAGGTCGTGAACCACTCAAGAATTCTTGAATATTATCAGGGTACCCATCTGGGAGTTCTCCTGTGGGAGAATATTATTCTGATAAGTGTTAATTGGAAACGTACTAGAATTTGTACTTTCCTAAGAAAGTGTAATCCCAAATATAACATATGTTACATTTGACCACTTTCTAAATGGCATTGTGTAATCATAGCTTTCGGCCATGGGAGCCATGCCAATTAACACTTATCAGAGGGGTACACAAAGCCCGCAGTCTAGACTACCAGTTGTCCGACTTCCATTTTTGTGGAAGTCGTGGTAGCTGAGCGGGTTAAGCGGCCCACTTTGTGTGCTGGTGATTAGGTGCCTGACTCTGAGGGTGTGAGTTCGAATCATGGATGGGGCTCAACTCAAAAAGTACTAGAATTTGTACTTTCCTAAGAAAGTGTAATCCCAAATATAACACATGTAAGCACATGTTAACTGCAGTCTTAAAACTAGATACCCAAATGAATTCACTACATCTCAGGAATCCAAAGAATGCAAGTGTACACATGGTTTCCATCATCAGGTCATTGTATGGTCCAAACACTCCTTTCCTCAATGTCACTACCATGTTCCAGAGAATGTCGTACTAGATGATTACAATTTCTTGTATCCTTTCAGTACAGTTTCCAGTCTACTGGTGGCACCAAGCATAGATCAATCAAACACACCATACACACCCTTGGACATGTACTCTGATACCTGCTTTATAGGTTTTCACTGTGGTGTACTTCAGTTTGAGAGTTTCAAAACAATAAGCCACAAACTGCATGAGCAATTCTTCATTGAGTTGGGGTGGTCCCTTTGCTGCCGGTAAGAATAAGTGAAACATGATGAGGAACTGGATATAAGGCTGAAGTCCTGTTGTATATGTGGCTCTTGTCTGTTGACTCACTGCTACGTTCCACAAAGTATTTGGACTTGCTGTTAGTCCCAGAGGACTTTGTTGATAGGTGGACAGAGCTGTTGTTCCTTGTCTGCATGAGGAGCCAGCTTCCGGAAACTGCCGACCCTGAGAGCCTCGAGCATGTTTGGCCTCCATGTCTTCCACTTTCATCTGTAATTCTCGGCATTCTGCTAGAACGTTGCTGAGGGTCGGTTCCAAGGTGCTTGCTTGTCTTCTCGGACTTTGGACAGGTGGCGGAAATTCTTCTATCTCCTCTTGTTGTCTCTCGTGTTCTGCCCAAGTAATGATTGGCAGGGGAGTGTCAGTTTGCTGATCTTTGGCACTTGTACATCTGAACCAAGGCTTTCTTTGGTAGATTGTCCGGCACGCGAACACCCATGCCCTACAGCTTTCTCTTTAAAATTGACCACTTCTTGGGTCAGTCACTAGCCCACCTATTGTTATCAGCAGCGGTTGAACAATTGGACCGTAAACTTCTCAGGCGAATGCAGGGCCAACTTCGTTCTATTGTGAAAGAACTCCCAAGATGTCAACAAAATATCAAGTTGAAGCCCTTTCTTAGAATGACGAATACACAGAAACACGGAAACCGAATAGCATTGTGGGTAGTCTGGCAAAGTACTTTGGGTAGGATTGTTGATATTACTTTAATACTTATAAATAGAGGGAAGTACTTTGTTATGCAAGTAATGATATATATATATATATATACTGGCCGCATAAAGAAACTGCACACAGAAAATATAAAGATAGGCAGACAGCGTCTTTATACATAAATAAAGGTGTGAACATAGCAAGTATTGGAGACAATCGAACGCTCATGCAGGTGCCAGGCGGCGTGACGTCATTGATGGTGGCCTACGGACTTGCAATGTGTTACTGCATGTGCAGCCTGTGCAGCTGCACACAACATGTGAAACTCAGAAATTGCTGTCACTGTCGAAAGCTTGATCTTTGGTCATTTAAACGTTCACAAATTTGCATGAGAAGTTACATGCACATCATGCCAAGATTAACATCTGCTCAACGTCATGAAGCCATTGGAATGGTTCAAGCAGGCATGAGCCAACAACAGGTGGCAGCACATTTCCAATGCCATCGTAACACGATATCTGCATTGGTCAGGCGTTATGGAAACAGTAAAGACGTCGCCGACCACCCACGTTCTGGGCGTCCCCGAGTAACGACACCAAGACAGGACAGATGGATTCGGGTGACTCATCTCAGACACAGGTTCCAGATGGCAGTGACCAAATGTGCATCCCAAACCATTCCCCAGGCCTTCAATGCTCATTTGGTAGCCTCTATGCTTTGTCGATGCACTGCTGTGCTTCACGCGCATGATGGTCATACCCGTTATTATCCCCTGCATCACGTTTTGGGGAAGGTATTAAAATGGACTCCGTCCGTCCGTCCGTGCACATTTGTCTTTTCCGGAGCAGAACTCTAAAACCGTTCACTATTTCATCACCAAACTTGGCACATAGATAGATCTGGTGGTGTACTGGTGCCTTTTGGTAGTTTTGGAATTCTGAATACAATATTTTTTGGCGTTTCCGTGGCAACAAGTTTGACTTAGCCTGAAATTGGTGGTAGTGCTCTTTTCCGGAGCAGAACTCTAAAACGGTTCAAAATTTCTTTACCAAACTTGGCACATAGATTGGTCTGGTGGTGTACTGGTTCCTTTTTGGTAGTTTTGGAATTCTGAATAAAATATTGTTCGCATTTCCATGGCAACATGTTTGACATAGACTGAAATTGGTGAAAGTGCTCCTTTCTGGAGCAGAACTTCAATAACCTTTCAATACTCTCCTTACACTTTTTATCCCCACGGCATGTAATGCGGGAGGATATAGTCGTCGCCTTGTCCATCTGTCCGTCCATCCGTCCGTAATCATTTTGTTTCCGGAGCATAACTCAAAGACCGTTCGATATTTTTCAACAAGACTTGGTAGATATATCAAACAGAACCTTAAGTGGTGCCTTTTGCTATTTGCAGATTTTTGGCCTTTTTATTTTTCCCGGTTTCCATGGAAACGATTCGGACTTAGTCTCAAAAGGGAGGGTTGGGTTTCGTTTCCGGAGCACAACTCAAGAACTGTTAAATATTTTTCAACAAAACTTGGTAGATATATCAAACAGAACCTTAGGTGGTGCCTTTTGCTATTTCCAGATTTTTGGCATTTTTATTTTTCCTGGTTTCCATGGAAACATCTAACTTAGTCCCAAAAGGGAGGGGTGGGCAGATCTTTAAGTACCTTTCAATACTCTCCCTACACTTTTTATTCCCACGGCATGTAATGCGGGGGGATATAGTCGTCGCCTCGTTCGTCTGTCCGTCCGTCCGTAATCATTTTGTTTCCGGAGCATAACTCAAAGACGGTTCGATATTTTTCAACAAAAATTGGTAGATATGTCAAACATAACCTAAGGTGGTGCCTTTTGCTATTTACAGATTATTGGCATTTTTATTATTCCCAGGTTTCCATGGAAACAAATCGAACTAAGTCCCAAAAGGGAGGTGTGGGCTTCGTTTCCGGAGCACAATTCGAAAACTTCTTAATATCTTTCAGCAAAACTTGGCAGGTATGTGAGGCAGATCCCAAAGTGGTGCCTTTTGC